ACGGACTACAGGAGCTCAATGTACGTTTGGAGGAAACGGTGCTACGTATGCTCTCGTCCTGAGATGACAGCTGGCTCATGTGGCAGCAGGACTGCATCTGTGCACTGACGGTCCACTGGGTGGTCTCCCCCCTCACCTCTTCTCACAGGACAGAAATTAAGTATTTATTTAATTAATGCAGAGCTTCTGGGGGTGCTGTGCCTTGGCCTTACTGATGGAAACTTTAGATTCTGAGGCAGGTCAATGGGATAATTCTACCTAGTCAGGCATGCTCTTACCGCAGCCCTTAAATCACATCATCTAGAAGGCGGGCCCAGGCTCAGGTTGAGCTGGTCCCTCCTCGCTAAGTCAGGGTGACGAATGGGCTCTGGACAGTAAGCTGTGTGTGCACCTGCCACACAGTGAGCACTCGCAGTCTTCTATTCCTCAACACAAACGGGGCGGGAAAACACAGGGGAGCAGACAGATACCAACCTTCAACTCCACTTATGCACTTGACTCTGTCTCGGACTTCCACATTGTAGCCTTCGAAGGACATGAACACACCGTCAGGGTGATAGGGAGCCCTCTGCGTGTAGACTTTGGAATAGCTATGAGAGAACTCAAACCGGTCATAGCCATCGTACTGAACCACCTTTCCATAAACGTCAAAGTACTTCTCCACCCAGGTGAACGGAAGGAAGACTTCGTTCCCCTCTCGCCGCCCTTTAATCGTGTGTTCATCGTTTATGAGACAGTCGATTTCTTCATACTTAAGCCCTAACCCCTTGCTGCCCCCGACGACGGGCGGTGCTCTCTGCTGCTCCTGAGGAAAGGCCTCCACGGACTGCCGGGCCACGCGGCCCGCCACGCTGTCGCTCTCGGAAGCTGCTGCTCCTTTTTCTAGCACATCCACTCTGAAGCCACTGCTCAAGTGCCGTGGAGACTGGACCGCTTTGTCGCTGGAACACTTATTCCACAGAAGTACTGTGACCAAACTGAAGAGGGCGCAGATGACAATCAAAGTCTTATAGTTGACCCGAGCCGCCAAGCAACGCATATTCAGACCATACCTACGGAGGCAAGAAGAAAAATTCACGCAAAGGTGTACCACTGACACTTTGTAGGATATGGTTCTCTTCACTTTTTTTTTAATTGAACTACCACATGAGGGCAATTTTAATAACTGCACGTAATCTGATCAGATTTAAAATTACTAACTGAACCTTTTTAGCAGAGACAAAGGCAAGAGGTCTTCCCCCTTTTAAAATACTCAGCGTAACCTAAAGCAGAGATTCCCAAACTCTGTATGTGGCTCCCTTGGTATCTTCATAATTTTTTCACAAAGCCCCAAGGTCAAAAGAAATACCCAGCAGTTTCATTTACGAAGTAGTGGGGCTCAGACAGCTTAATGCATGCTTTTGTCCTAACAACTCAGCAGCTGTTTGGAAAAAAAAAAAGGGTCCTGTCAAGGTAAACACTGACTCCACGTTGTCAAATCCAACAGTGAATCTGCAGTGCTCATCCTACGAGAGCTCTCAGCATCATAAAACAGTAAACAACTCTTCCTTCCCAGGGCTTCCAGGGCACCACTCCTTCCTCGTTCTCCTTGTACCCCGCTGGGTGCTCCTCCTCTGCCATCTCTGATCATGCCCTTTCACTGTCCTGAACTTAGACGCTGAAGTGCCTTAGGGTACCAGTCCTCAGTCCTCTTCTTGACCTTTATTCACTCCCAGGTGACCTCACCCAATCTCATGGCTTTAAATACAATTTACATGCTGACTATTCCCAAAATTCTGTCCCCACCAGACCTTTCTTCACACTGCAGGCACACATACCTAAGTGCCAAATCGAGGACCAATCATCCTTATTTGAACGTCAAATGGACTTCTGAAACATAACATCCAAAATTTAATCCCTAATCTTTCCCCTCAACCTGTTCCTCCTTCCCTACTGCTCAGAGGCCGGAAGTCTTGACATCTTTCTCGCTCACTCCACATCCAACCAGTCAGGAGATCCTATCCTGTTGGCCCTACCTTCAAATCATACCCAGAACTCCACTGTCACCACCATGTAAGAGCCACCACCGTCTTTCACTTGGAAGAGTGCAGTGATGTCCAGACTGGTCTCCCTGCTCCAGCCTTGCCCCACTATCCCGTCCCAAAGTCTATTCCAACAGAGCAGCCAGAGTGATGCTTTAACTGTAAGCCAGGGCAAGTCATTCAGTCACGATGGGAGAAGACTCTGGTGCTACTGCCCCTGCTGGCCATGTGGTGTAATAACCAACTGTGACTGTAATGCACGAAGTCTAGGGTTCCTACTGCTGGGTCAACTGGGAAATATGGAAAATCACGGGTTACTTGTAGGTGCAACATACGGAACACTTCAGCCTGCTGAGAGCAAAAAGAGAGGCCCTGCTGCCATTTGCTACAGCGCCTCCGTAACTTACCCCGTGGTGTGAAGCCACAACTACTAATTTTATTGTTACAATCCTTCTTCCCCCTTTTCTTTTCAATAAACCCTTCTGGCAGCAGTGAGATTTAAAAAAAAAAATCAAACTCCAAAATGAAAATGTTTAATGAAAGATTACACAGTGATTTTCTGTTTTTTTAAGAAAGCTGATGGTAAATGCGTAATTCGTTCATTTCTTTTAGAGTCCTTGCACGTCTGAAAGCAACTTCATTCTGCGCTCACCTCTGATTTACAGTTTGGCAGGATACAGAGTCCTTGGGCTGCGCGTTACTTCCTTTCTAAACGCTGCAGGGAACACTTTACTTTCTTAAAGCATCCAGGGCTGCTGACGAGAGGCTTGGATTCAGTCTGATACTTGTCACTGTACGGGACCTCGCTCCAGATCTTTAGTTTACCTAAGGGATTCGGCAGTTATCTGAGCATGTGTTATAGCATGATCTCTGATTCACTGTTTCAGCACTTGGTTTGCCCTTTCAATCTGGAAACTTGTGTTCTCCTACTCTGGTTTAATGAATACAGTATTTTCTTGCAGCTCTGCGTATATCAGAGTTCCATTTTTGTAACGTTCTCTCAACTATCTCTATTTTCTTCAGTTCTTTAGTGGTCATTTTTCTGGTTATTTTAGTCTTTCACAGCTTTCTCACATTGATGATCTCTGGTTACTCATTCATCTTTAGGCCTGAATGACTCATTAGCCAACACAGATTTCCTGTCACTGTGAAGATGGTCTACTCTCTGGCTAGACTGCTGTCCTGAGGGGTCTCCGTGTGGGCTGGGGACAGGCTGAGTGGCAGTGCCCCTGCAGGGTCTGTGGGTGGGGAGCCAGCAAGCCCTCTAAATGCCAGAATGAAGACAACTTTTTCTCTTGCCCTGGGGACACAACTTACACTCTAGAAGCCTTAGCTTTTCTCAGTTTCTCTAAAGAAAAGCTGGCTGGTGTTTTGCCTGGGGTCCCTGCCAGCCACCTGTAGTCCAAGGGCAGGGGTGAGAGACGTGTGAGGAAGGAAGGGGAGGGCGTGCCTTCTAGCACCTGCACAGAGATCCAGAAGTCTGTTTAATTACCTCCCTATAATAATCTGACTTATTTTTACCGACTTCATTTCTCTATTTCTACGTATTTTATTTCAGTGGGGCATCAGGAGGCAAGCAGGGCAAAGATATGGGTCTGGTCCAACCTGGAAATCATACACAGGTTTTAAGAGCTGGAATTCAATAATATATTTACATCTGCATTATTACTATGAGAAAATGTAATGAATGCTAAAAAACAAAAAAACCCCAAAGCGTGGTACAAGTATACCTTAGAAGTCATATATTTATAAATCGAGGATCTCCTTATACAGCAGTACTGGCAAACTGGTAAACCAAAGGATGTTTAACTTCAAAAAGAAAAAAAGCCCTTCACTAAAAACATTTACTTGCCAACATCTGAATTACCCGTCAGCTACATCTAACATTCAGACCAGTGAAAACAGAAACAGAAAGACTCTGTCCCATCTCTGAGATGTGCCCTTCCTCCAAGACTCAGATCAGGGTAACCCTGGCTGATGGAACCAACAGACTACCATCTGATGAGGCACATGATGGGAAAGTGAAGAAAAATCACTAAAACCTTTCAATAACCTTTATGCCCAGATCTTGTTTCCTGATACCATCCTTTACTAAAAGCAACCAGGGCATCTTAGAGAACTGGTTAAGTCTAGGACTGGAGATTTGCTCTGCCAGAAAACAAAGAAATCTTTCAAGGTATCAACAGAATCACAATCCAGGGGATCAAGCAGCAGCCGGAGGTGGATAAACAAGACTAGAGACACTGCTAACTGCTGAGGGTGGAGGCTCACTATGCTATTCTCCACGGTTTTATGTTTAAACATTTCTATAATTTAAAAAGCATTATAGCAAAAAGACTTAAGACAGAAATCAATCTGAAAGGTCCCCTTCCCAATTAAGTCAAAGCTACGAGAATTACGACTGACGTTGACTGAAACATGCTGAATCAATAAAAATCCATGAGTCTACAATAATATTCGAATAAGGAGAAAACCAGAAAAAACAGTTATGTCCTCTTCTGATGAAAACTGGTAACTGGTGAAAAAAACTTATTTATCTATCTGGCCTTTGCCAGATAGAACAAAGCAATAGCCTCAGAGGATAAAGAATTCCATTTTACAGAAAAAGGGTGACTAATAATGTGGAAGAAAGAAAAATCAGAAAATAAGCATTATGTGATCTCTCATGAAATTACTGACCTAGGCAAGTGTTACATTCAGGCATATGTCTGATAGGGATCTAGAGAGTCATACTGTGCAAAAGTACATCAAATACATTATTTCCTAGTCACGAGGAGAAAAAGGTGAGACTACAATGAAGGGGTCAGACAGTCATCACCCTAATTCACTGGTCAGATTCAGTTTCATTACTGAAGACTCATCTAGATACAGTGTCTCTCTGTGAGTTAAAATAAAAAGTACATAATCTATTATACATCCCAGCCAAAAATGTTTTAAGTTGGATCTCTCAGGCAGGCCCTATGATTTAACTTCTCATTAACAGGAAGTCACGTGGCTGCAACCAGGACACCTGGAAGGTGAGATGTCCTGCAGGAGAGCTGGCCCTGCCTCCCCAGTGGATTGGTGGTATGAAAAGAACAATGAGACTGGGTTAGATTTCTTTTTAAAAGAGACTTAAGGGATTATAACAACCAGATGTGAAACTTGGTCCTAAGGTGGGAAATGTGACTGTCGACTTATAAGAAGGGAAGATGGAAGGACATACAGATTGGAATTGAGAAAAAGGAGGTTACAAAACAGCACATATAGCGTGATTTTATAATTTTCCATGAATACATTTACTGTCTTTTAACTTTAAAAATAGAAAATTAAGGTCAAAGTCACTTGTTAAAATAGTAAAAGAAAGAAATCTAAAGTTTTAAGTTAAAAAGTGTCTGTAAGTATTTAGTTTCCAACACAGGCACTGCCATTGGGGGGGGGGGTGGAGGAGGAGGGAGAGAGAAACTCTCGAGTACTGACCTGCAGCATTAACTATCAGATGGGCTCATCTGAAGGTAAGGACAGTAATTTTATTATAACGTTTCTCAGGTTATAGAAAACTGACTACAGAAACTTTCAAATTTCAACAAGTGTTTTGCTAAGTGTAAGTGACAGCAACCTTGAAAGCTAAACGCTGAGTGGTGATAAGCTTCCTACTCCTCTTGAAGCTTCTGCCACATCCACGAACTAGAACAACCTTTCAAGTTAAAAAAGGAAGTAAATAAATTAATACAGAACCCTTGAAACATGATGTATTGCTGATCCTAAAGATCTATTTCATTAGAAAGATAATCTAATAAAATGTAGTTTTAGTGACTTCAGAGACCTAAACCAGAAGGTAGCATTCAGCAAGCGTCATAAAGAAACTGTGGAATAACTTCTTTGCAGAAACTGTTAAAATTAAGAAGAGCAAAATATACCTTAGTTTTCTTTTGGGAGAGCAAACTGTTCTCTTCTAAAATGATTTGCAATTCGAAGAAAATTTTCTATTACCTTTTTTTCTAATTCATTTTCCTAACTGCGTATTTCAAGTAACCATTAGAGTCATTCAGTAAACATTAGAACTGTTGATATCACC